TATATTTCATACATTTTACATGAAAATGATAAGGAAAATAGTGTACATCTGTGTATTCACAAGGATTTAAGAAATCTTTTGACAAATAATCCCAGGGTGTGGGTAACTCTCCAAAATTACCCAACAACTGGCCATTTGGAATTTCACTTGCTAAAATAACAAGCTGTGAAGTATATACAGAGCATGCCCAAATCCTACTTTTCTTCACTGACTTAATTCTGAACACAATCAATCTAAAAAAAATAAATAAATAAAACCAAACTCATCGCCATCAAGTCGGATCCGACTTATAGTGACCCTTCTTGGGTTTCCGAGGCGATATCACAATGGAAGTAGATTGCTCAACCTTCCTTCCAAGGAGTGGCTGGTGGATTTGAACCACTAGCTTTCTGGTTAGCAGTCAAATGCCTTAGGCACTACACCACCAGACCCCAAACTTAAAGGTCTCATTAGGTAAAATTCCTTGAAGAATAAAATTGAATTGGTTTCTGACTTAATCCTTATGTGCTGCTTTAAAGCAGGAGTCCCCACAGCAAAGACTAGCAGTGCCTCAGTGAAAGCATTGTCTGGTCTGTGTGTGTGTGTGTGTGTGTGTGTGTGTTAAACTGAATCAATTTACCAGCTGCTCACGTTACAACAGTCATGGACTTTTAGTTGGGGAAGAGGAATTAAGGTGCTAAGTTGCTAAGTACTGGAAAGCAAGAAGGGTAAGGTAGCACTGGGTGCTGCAAAATTCTATTTTAACTCAGACTTTATAGAAACATGAACAAGAGTTTGGTCAGAAGGCAAATTGAGTGCCACTCAGTTGTTTGGTTGAGCAGTACATGCAGCAGCCCTTAGGGTCATATTTCTCTTCTGATGCACGGAGGAACTACTGAAAACACTCTAGCACATGGAAAACACTCAGCCAAGAGGGAGCTTTTGAGTCAAGTGTGAAATTGCCTAAACCAATTCAATCAGAAGAAAATGCCAGCTATCATACTGTGCCCTGTCATTTATCAAAACAAGGAATGTCAGAAATGAGGAGTGGCCAGTGATTTCTTTTTACAGGGAATGTCTAATGGAGGAATCCTGGCTGCCTAGAGCCTAGGCTGAGACAGTTATCTGAGGCCACTCCTAGGCTGGGAGGCAGCAGCCCAGTGACCAATTAGCAATGTCTTCTGCCGGTGGAGGAGAAGGTTGTACTGCTGCCCCTGCCATACATTTACTATTACTGAGCTAGCCCCACCACAAATGTTACATTTTTACCTCTGAGGGACCGGAGACCCAAAAAGCCTTAACTTAACTCTCTTCATGTGCACTTATTTAAAGTCATCCATTTCATAAAGTATATGTTTGTCAGAACTTTATTCCTTCAGCCAAAATATTACAAAGTTATATGAATCTGAGGCATTACAGAATAATTCTGTTCAATCCAATTTAACAAGCACAGTATGCTTAATAAGAAGCTCTGGTAGTGCAGTGCCCAAGGCATTTGACTGCTAGCCATAAGTTTGGCAGTTCAAACCCACCAGCTGCTCTGCAGAAGGATGAGGCAATCTATTTCTGTGAAGATTTACCTCCTTGGAAACCTAATGGAGGTCATATGGGTCAACTTGATGGAAGTGGGTTTTGTGGTTTGGTATGCTTAATATTTGCCCATGACGCTTATTTCCTTGATGGTGGGAATAAAAGTAAATACTGATAAAACTCAATCCCCAGTTTTCAAGGCACTGACAGCGTAGTAGAAAAGATACATATTCCACCATAGTTTGATAAATGTTGTATCTAGCTCTTTGAACCAAGTGTCATTGATGTCCAGAGATCTAGGGGTCAGGTAACAAGAATTCAGGGTGGAGAGAGCAGGAGCTTTGCCAGGGTATTCATTTATATTCTGGAGGTAGACCACATCCCCAGGGAAACTCTCCTTTCAACTGTGTAGTTGATCATATTAGATCACATTATGCTCAGACCATAGTTACATTGCATTACATTGCATAGTAACCAGTCCAGTATCTGGCCAAACCACTGAGAATTGTAGCTAGCTAAGTGGACACATAAATTTAACCATGACAAGCCATCCCTTATGAACTTGGTTTGTATACACATCTCCTTAAACCATACACAATCTCCAAATAAAGAAAATCATAAAGCCATACTTCCACCTAACATGATACAATTAACATACATACCACCAGGTGCCACCAGGGCTCCTCATAAATAAAACATTATATAAATATAAATTTATTATTTATTGTAATGATCTTTCAATACAAAGCCATTATGTTTAACAACATGCAAGACTGTTAGCAAGAAAAATGTTTTGTTTTTACACTACAAAGAACCAACAATAAAACCCCTAACACAAAAGCTTCTGCTGTGTCATCTCAACAATGGTCAATTTTTTTTTCTGGTTTATTTACTGAAGTATAATATATATATGAAAAGTGCTTATTATATGTAAGTGTACAGCTTTGATGAATGTCCACCGACTGCACACACCCATGAAACTAGAATTCAAATCAAGAGACAAAAAATCATCAGTACCCAAGAAGCCTCCTTTGTGCCCTCTCCCCAAAAGAAATCACTGTCCTAACTTCTAGCTGCATTAATTAGTCTTTTCTATTTTTGTACTTTATATAAGTGTCATTGTTATACCATGTACTCTTTTGTGTCTGGCTTTTTTCGCTCAACATTATGTACATGAGATTCGCCCATATTGTTAATGATCAGCGGTTTAAAATGTAATTTCTGTGGATGAGAGGAAAGCATAGTTATCAAGATGTTTTCTTTCATTTACATATAGTTTATTATTTAATTTACTATAGATTTGTATTTATTAATCAGATGCTGCTACTCACATTAGGGCCATATTTACAGACTTTGCTGCAAGAATGAGAATTCTTTGTGTGTGTTGAATCATAAAGGTATTTACACTTACTTCATCTTGTTTCCATTGTCTGACAGGTACAAAAACCAGGTTCCTATAAATGTCCATGCAAATCCTGGAAAATATATTATTGAAAGTAGATACGGAATGCACACTTTGGAGATAAACGCGTAAGAGACTATCAGTATTCATTTGTATTGCCTGACAATGGCTTAGGGAGGTGTCTCCAGGTAACCAGGCTGCCCGCCTCCTTTCATTCTAGGGCAGTGTAATCTTGATGTGATGTGAGGAGCACTCACAGATATTTCTTCTATTGGTGCACATTCAACAATAATGTGCATCACCAAATACCAGGCCCACATTACCTCCCAAGTGAGCTTGTATTTGAAGTTAGTTGAAGATGATGAGAAAAATTAACCTGTATTTTTTTAATTTATTGTTTTATATACTTAAGAGGTTTTTTTAAGACATTAATAAAAAAAATAAGTCATATAAATAAGCATTTATATTTAGTTATTTTTTCAGCATTTTAAATCAACATATCATGCATGAAACCACTAAATTAAGGCCACGAAGATTTGGGAGGCACATACTGGAAGTCAGCTGGAGTTGGAGGCCTTGTCCTTCCATTCAGCTCACCGGGAATGCCAGGAAACTGACCATGTGCATGTGTGGCAGGGCCAGACAGTGGGTTATTTCAGGGTAAAGCAAAACCTAAAACAAAATTTGAAAGCAGAATCCATGTCAGATTTCAAAGTCCTCAAAGGTTAATCCTGTTTCTTAAAAGTGGTTTTGAAATCCAACCCTAATTATGTGTATGAAAAAGCTAAACAAGCTCACATGATTTTCAGTTCAGATAAAACCATGAATTACAGAGATGTCAAAAATTTTTGCATAATTCCCATCTCAAGAGATTTATACTCTTCTCCTCAGATCAGAGGAGTTAACACAAGTGATACCGGGCTTCAAACAAAACTCTGGAACCTTGTGATGTTCACCAAGCACTGACCTGACCTAAAGTCACATCAGAATCTGCTGCTTGGTGATTCTACTGAGACATTGAGCTATGTGGCTGTTTTCATAATTAAGTAGTTATGGAATAAGTTATACTCATGAAACTAAATGCCAAGGAATCATGGAGGACACAGGAACTGGTAGTGATAAAAGTCAAAAGAACCATCTTTGAAATCTTAGCCTGTTCATCTCTCTATGAGGTTATGTCCTCCCTGTTCTGTTATTAAGGACATTCTGGTTCTGTATTATAACTTAGAAGCATTTCCAAATGTGACTTCTTTTGTTGGCAACACCAGTTGTTGCCTGAGCCTTAGTAGAACTGAGCTCTAAATAACTTTGTTATAATTTTAGTCTAGAACAAAGTATTAGCCCAAACTGCATCTGCCTTATGGGTCAGGGAGACTGCGGAGAGACTGCTTCTTTCCCATCTCTGTTGTCCTGATGACCCCAAAATGAAACTTATTGCTGAGGGTAGGACAGCTAGAAGGTCACCACGTTCAGTATACCTCTGGGTAGTTATCGGCTACAAAGATAAATGATTGCTCCCAAAACAACTTCAGACAAATTTATAATAACACAGTTCATTCTGTAATTTATGTGCTTAGCAGTTTGTTGACTTTTTATTTTTTATCTTCTTATATTTTAAACGAATCCAGGCCATCGTCACAGTGGGCAATGAGTGTTCTCTCTTCCCAGTCTGTGTTGCCAGCATGAAAATGCAATAGATCATTCAGACTGTATAAAATTCCTTAATTAGCTGGACCAGAGACAGGAACTTTATGAAGAATGCCAAAGAGCCATTTGTTAGATACTGGTTTGCATGCACCATGTTAGCAAAGCATCCCTTGACATCAAAGCTATTAATTAAGGGGAGGCCAATTTGATAGCCATTCATTTCTGCAATGTTCTTTCAGATGTGATTTTGAAGACACAGCTCAGTACCGGGCCTCTGCGATGAACGTTAAAGGAGAGCTTTCAGCATACGCTTCCGTTGTGGTAAAGAGTAGGTTTGCTGGACTTGTTTTATTCAGAGTGTGTTTTCAAAACATGTCTTCCCATCGCCAAAAGTAAATAAATAAATAATAAATCATGAAGAAGTTCATATGCGTTTCTGTTTCCCTTTTTAGGATATAAAGGAGAGTTTGATGAGACTTGCTTCCATGCTGGGGCTTCTACCCTTCCTCTCAGCTGTAAGTTTAAAAATATATTTGCTAAATTTCATCTCTACTTAAAATACAGCAGAATAAGCTTTTCTATAACATGTTATAATGTATGCTAGTATGTATGCAATAGGTCACGGTGCTTAGTTTAATTTTTTAGATTCTCGTTGCTATTCTCCTTCTGAATTTAATTGTTAAAAAAAAAAACAACTTTTAAGGTTTTCTGTACTAAACAGAGAAAAATTATTGTACAAACATAAGCAGAGTGATTTAAACACCTTCCCATCCCCCATACACATCCACACACCCACACACGTCTTAGCTGTATCAAAGCACTCTTCCTCATCTTTCAATACTCAGGTCAGCTTCACCTTCTTAAGAACTCCATGCCTGACCCCAACTCTCACACCACACTAGCCAGGGTTAGGTGTCGCTTGTGAGGCCAAGGCATCTCCATTAGCACACGCAACACAGTGGACAGACACTGTTAGCTATTACATGTCTGTCTCTTCCACTGACCCATAAACCATTGGAAGGGAAGACTGGGTCATTTATGTCTAAACTCCAGTATCTAATGCAGAGTAGGTTTTTAATAATGAACTAATAAATAAAGTGAGTTTTGAGGCTGAGCCTCTGGTGTTAAAACCCAGCGAGATGCACCTGGTGCATAGGTAACAGCCAGTTTATAGACTGAGACAGACTAGGAAGAAGGAAGAGGCCGTCCACTTCTGAAAGAATT